GAGAAACATGCAAAACGGGACAGAAAACATGAAATTTTGCAATAATCTTGCGCCACCCTTGCACAAAACGACGATCATTTTTCTAATTTCATAGACAACAGAAGACTGTATTTTTAATAAGCTGGATCCGCCCCTGGGTTTGCAACTGCACTCACATTGCACGGATTGATATTGTGTTAAGAAACGGTTTAGTTGTAAAGATTGTAAGGCCATAATGATATTCAAGACCGCACGTCACTGAACTATTTAAAATGAACAACAGCATAACAATGAGTATTTTTTAAACAATTAATCGATTAATGTAAACCGTACTTTTTGAACAACCGTTGGATAATGCAAGGAAACAATGAAGCACTTTCGAAAAAATGTAACGGTACTATAAGTGATTTTCTCTGGAACACGCATCTACTGTACACAGAAAAGCTAGATTTGGAATCATGTAATGCATCAAAACTAAAGAACTTTCGACTATTTTACAGCAAAATTCATATTTTAATCTAAATTTAAAAAATGCTGCAAACTTACCAATACGTAAATTTCAACAATGTTATCCTGTAAGTCTGATTTCGTTTAAAAAACGCACGTCGTTGACGAACTACAACACCATTTTAAGCGATAAGTTTTATTACGTGTCTGTCCTGCTATGCACCTCTATAGTAGCCGCTTAGTAGTTAAGTAGGTGCCTAACTTAAATAGATTTATAGATTATTTAACCTTGAATACCAGCCATCTAATTAAGTATTGCAATATTCCCAGAAGTGTAGAAATGAACGAATTTTCTTAGTTCGTATTTTCCTTGGGTTTGTGCGACTTGAGGAAAAAAATGTTGATCGAAGGTCAAAAGTCCTGTAATCATTAACCTGCACCGTGTGCTTCAGACACATTCGGAGAAGATATTCTTGCATTGCAGATGATTGAAGGAAGACTACATTAGCTTCATGTTTGCTAAATTAATAGTCTGTTTAAATCTTTAAAAAACTTTGCTTGGGCTTAGGAGTAAAGCATAGGATCAGTTGTTGGAACTTCTCGATATCCCGTCCTGTCGATCTGATTTTGACCAAATACGGTTCACTAAAGCTTTCTATCCTGTCAGAAGCAAAATATCCATGTTTTCGGGACCTCCAAGTTGAAATTGGTGTAGGTTTTGCGAAAGAAGCTTCAAAGTAAGGCGCAATTTGTCAAATGCTTGCTATTCTTGACAAAAGCTATGTACCTGATAATGGCAAAAAATATCATTGCCGCTTTGACTTTTTATCAAAAATTTGTAGAAGGAAACTTTTTTAATGTAAAAAATGTTCGCAATTTGAAGCAAAGATCGTAATTTTCCTTTTCGAATGCTTAAGAGTTTCAATAGGCCAATCAAACGTGGGACCATTTCAAATAATGCTTAATAGCGAAGTTGAAATTCGATTTTTAAAAAATTTCAACATTTTTCTGGCACTCCAACTAAGCCCCTATTACCCCGTAAAACGAATGATGCCAATTTTGAATCAGTCTGCACTTAAGTAAGGTGAATGTAAATTGTTTACTTTTTACACACTGAACATCGTCGAAACCATGTACCTACTGCAATGTTAATCTGTAATCATTTTAGTTTTTATGCGTCTCTAACTATTAAAATTGATCAGGGAGTGGAAAAACCACAGAAGTCGATAGCCTTTTGTATGATTAAAGATTTGTTGTTGCGTTTACAATGAGGTGTGTAATAATAATACATACACACTATGGAATTCTAAACAGATAATAAATTTAAAGTGTTTTAAACGTTTTTAAATACATGTAGGTACTTATGGGTACGTTATTCCATTGCTACCCTCACCTTGAATCTCATTAAAGTTTTGTTGGTCTCCATAAGGATTTGTGAGCTGAGTGACCTCAGCTTCCATAATGGTAAGCACTCAATCAGGAACACCCCACTGTTTAAATCTAACCCTACGCTACCTACAGGCTTGGCAAGAAGCAAAGAAGAACTTTATTAATTTCACATAATGTTGAGGAATTTTTATGCATCTGCCCTGCCAAACGGTTCACACAATGAGACAATGCTCGAGTTTCGGTTATAGAAGTTTGTTTTCACACTTAAAGAAATTTGGGCTGATTTTCTGAAAACCATCAGTACTTCATAAAGGTTTGCTTGGCGCTTTGGCAAAACACTCGCTTAAGTCAGTCATGGAAAAACCGTCCTGGCTCAACTTCACAGTTAATTTTCTTTTTATCAGTCTAACACGGAATTGCGCATAACCCGTATATCGCATACATACTTCGTTAAAATTCACTAATTTTCACTTTTTGTCGCATTATCAAATGTAAGTGACATGGAAACGCACTTTGCCTTGACCGTAATTTACTTAGTAAAGCTTCTTGCAAATAATGATGAGCAGCACGGCGGCAACTAAATGACTGACGGCGTATATTCACGTGCGACGCCGACTATTTGTGTGGGCGACAGACGCCGCGGCGCTTTAGCAGTCGGATTTATTCATGGGTTAATAGGAGTTTTGTCGACTTTATACGTTGCTTTAAATTGAATTCTCATTAATAAAAGTTCGAACATACGGGGGAGCTTGAGCGTAAACAAGTAAAAACTATTGGTTTGGGTAATGGGGGGATACGGTTCATTCAAACGTATTTTTTTAAGGTTTATCTGAAATCAAAAGACATTTTTTTCATCAACACAACAACAACTTCTGTGTTTAGGGTTTTTTTTTTAATAAATGATCTATCGTGTGTGTCAACTTTTGGACTAAGATTTGCAACCCAGGAATTTGACATTTCTTTTGGGACACCTCCATTTTTTTTTGGCATTAATAATAATTTGCTACTCACATCCGTAATAGTAGTTTTTATTCGAATGAATGTAAAAGTGCCATTTTTCCATCAGAAATGATGATCAAAAAGAAGCACTTTTCTTTACTGTTCATTTGTTTTACTTTTGCGCACGGACTTTCACGCACGTGTGCGCAATTGTAAATCTGACAAATTGGACGTGTCACTGTCATAAAATATTTTGAAGTATTTTCATTAAAAAGTAACCGACAGGATTTTTTAATGTATTACGTAGGTTTATAGAGAACTATTGATCATACGTTAAAGTTTACTAACAATTTGTATATTACAACTTTGTTATAAGTTCAGGCTCAAAGTCGTTCAAATGGTCTATTTTTCTGCGCTCGCCGATGTTGCCACAAGCAAACCCCGATTTTTTTAAAGATCGCAAATTTTATGCAAATTATGCATCTCATACAAACGCCATACCGTGAAAACAGAACTTGAATTTTCAACACTCATTGTTTCACTTGTATATGCTGACAAAATAACGCTTCTCAAAAATTACAAACGCCAAAACATGACAATTTCAAAAATGGCATTGACATCAAATTTTAAATATGAAGTTGACGGCTGTCATTTTTGGCTGTTTTTATTTATTATAACTTAAAATAAAAAAATAGACCATTTGAACGAGTTCAGACTGAACTTGTAACAAAGTTATAACCTAAAAATTGTAAGTAAATTTTAAATTATGATCAATAGTTCTCTATAAACCTAAGTAATACATTAAAAAATCCTGTCGGTTACTTTTTAATGAAAATATTTTATGACAGTGGCATGTCCAATTTGTCAGATTTACTTTTGCGCACATGTGCGTAATAGTCCGTGCGCAAAAGTAAAACAAATGAACAGTAAAGAAAAGTGCTGCTTTATGATCATCGCTTCTGATTGAAAAATCGCACTTTTAGCTTCATTCGAATAAAAAATGTATTATAATCATACTATACTTAATTCAGTCGTTCATTGCACTTTAAGTACAAACCAAATGAAATTACCTCGAAAAAACAACATTGCTATTTCAATAAACATTTTTTATAAACCAGCCGGTTTATTTTCGCCGACCTCTTTATTTTCACTTCCACTTACAGCTAATCTTGTGTCACACTGTGATTTAATAAGGGGTGAACGTTCCGTCTAGTCTGAGTTAAAAATAACTGTCTTTTCAAATAAAAGCACAAAAAATTATAAAACGGAGCCAAATATAATAAGGGAAGATGTTTTTTTGGGCCACTAAAATTCGTTTGATGTCTAGTCCTTTACGGCTAAAGGCACATCTGGCATGAGCGTTCAAACGCATCATAATTAAGTTTATTTAACAAATAAATAAGAAAACATTGTTTCAAGAGAATTGAAAATAGTCATAACAACATGAGTGAGGAAATTCGAGTAGTGTTGACCCAGAAATCGGAATTTGAATATCAGACACTTAGGTGCAAGATTTTGCCAAAATTTCATGTTTTTCGTACCGTTTTTGCTCATTTCTCGGAAGCGAAAAGAGCAAGAACGCTCGTTTTTACATCAGTCCATAGGGAACCAAATTACCTTTTTGGAAAGTGAACTATCAATCTCAAAATGTTGGCAGTTTTCTCAAAAAAATGCAAAAAATTAAAGAAGTTTTAGATTTGCGTGTTTTTTTTATCCTTGCTTGTTTGTTACATCATTTTACTTGGTCATTTACCCAGTGGCTCTGCTAATTATCACCTGTATTAAAATCATTATATTGTGATCTCTATACACTTTCAAACCGTAACCCCAGTTATTTTATGGATACAAAATATTTAAAAAACTGGAACATGTGTTCAACCGTGATGCATGCAATGAACACTAATCACTCGAAGCTCTTAAGCAAGAATATCTATTTAAAAAAATTATGAATTCTTACCCTTACATCATATACCATTTTAGAGCAGTCACAGGATACTGTTTAATAGCGAGTAGTCTGTGACTATATTGCAGATTATTTGCTATAATTTAAAAGTTGTGGCTAAAGAAAAACTTCGATTGGTCCATCACTAAATATCACACACGAAACGAACAATAGCCCCTAATAAAATGTATTTTATTGACTTGTATCAATACAAACATAACGTTGAGATAGGGCTAAGGGCTATGTTTTAGGGTCGCTAAAACCATGCGCACAGAACATACCCCCAGGGGGGATATTTTGTGATGTCAATAACAAGTAACCATAGATAAGTAACGTGAACAATACAACAATTTATCCCATCGACATATATTCGGCATAAGGCGATTGTGTTGGCAACATGGCCAAAGTGTACAACGTCTTTTCTAGATTGTGCTAGATTAGAGATCGCCATTACGAAGCATTTGAACGTCTCTGTCAACTAAATTTTTTTGTTTCGACGGTTTTCTGTGAGAATTTCTTGGTGAGTTAACGCACGAAACACACTAACTCGAGTAGTTTTTCAGTCGAATAATTGTTTAAGTCGTTGTAAGCGTTTTAGGCTTAGAGACTTGGAACCGCGAATATCCAATAGAGGTAAATTTCCCCCAGAACGACCTTTCACGTGAGCACAAACTATCGTCAAACGTGTTTAACCGAATCAATAAACAATTTCCCATCAATTTTTCCATTAAAGCGTAGGTGGAATAAACAGTTAGGTTTCTGGTTAGGTTAGCGTGGTTATAAAACTTGTTTTCCGCGTGTTACACTAGAAAATACGCATATCAATGGGCTCGGCTATTTGTGAAAAAAGTTGCTTAGTTCTGTTTGCAAACAAACCGAGATAGTGATCAGGAGATAACTGATATCAGTTATCCAAATGCCATACATTCTAGTCAGAGGTAATCTAGCTGCATATGGCCAGAGATATCCTTGGAGGGTGTTGGTCTCGGGGCTGAAAGCTGGAGATATTGAACAGCTAAATCGGTTTGCTTCTGGTGGTTACTGTGACGACTCTACTATTGTATACATGCAACACCCTTGCGTTATTCTTACAGCATTGGAAGTTCTAGGTACCAAGTCGTATTTAATTACATAATTGCCCCAAAATATTCCATCTAAAATTCCCTTACAGGCTATACTGTGGTGGCTTCATCAAGCACAAGTGTAAAACAAGACTACAACGAGTATATGTGGACTATGAGAAGAGAGTTTGCTGAGCCTGATCCTGCCACCATATCTCCAATTAAAGAGTCGGAAAAAGCTCCACTAGAGAAAGGAGAAGTGTAGTAAGGCTTCCTACCCCGCTAGTAAACCAGCACAGAAAACAAGTGTCAAATAACCACTTAGCACCACTATGGAAATACCCGCGAGCCTTTTAATGTCTTCAGGAACCTATGCTTATGTAGCAGTAAAAGCTTCCGTCCATGCCTCAGACAGCTCAGTGTTTGGCCTGAATGGCGATGAAATCAAAGCTCTAGTAAAACGCTTTTCTGACTACCGCAAGGGTGTCATTAATGGGGTTTTGCTCAAAGCCTGTCCATTGGATGTGGTCAACGCTTTGGGGCAACTTGGCTATCGAGTGGTTGCCACCACGGGAGAAGCCGAAGTAATTTGGACCATGCAAAGAGATCTTTAAGTTGACTTCATCAGCACAGCTAAATCGCTAAACGAGAAGAAAACTGCTTTAACTTGAGAACTTGTACTGTACAGATTTATAAAATCAACGGAAAATTGCACATATGTGAGTTCCATCTTGAAGACAGCAATGAAGTATTCCCTTCAAGTGAAAGAATATTTTATCAATACGATACCTTTACGTGATAATCTCGTTGTTGTGAACAGTGGAAAACCGCCTTTTTCGTCAAAACGTTTTGTAAAATTAAATAATTTCGAAATGTAGGGAATAACTTACACCGTGAATTCCGTGGCAATAATACGTTTCTTCTTGCAGTTTAGCTCTTAAAATCGCTTTCACCCGCTAGGAAATGCACTAATAATAATTAAATGTTAACTTAAGATATTGTATATACTTTCCTGACTGTGTTTCAATTCCAAATCAAATTCATTCCTGCGTTTCAGTCATTTCTTGTCTCTATTTATCTATCAACATACCAAATTTTTGCCGAGCAAGAAAATGCATGCCAAGGCTTAAAGCAGCAACAACGCTACACATAAAAACTGATGATGGTGGAAAAATACACCGAAACGTATTTTGATAAATAAATAGAGACAATAAATGACTGAAACCGAGGAATAAATTTGATTTGAACTTAAGATATAAAAAAGCTGTAAGTATTGTACAACTACAACAAAGAATTTGCACGGAATTCACGATGCTTCTCTCAACTGTTTTATCTAATATAATATTTCATCGCTGTGAATCGCTTCAATTTTTACAACACTTTTTTGGTTTTTTTCCCAGAAGTGACTCTTTCATATAGTAGTGCGAAGAATATTTAACAAAATTCAGCAAAGCTGGATTTGATTTAAAAAAAAATGCACGATGTTCAGCCGTTTTCTTCTTATCGATAGATCAAATAGCCTTGCCCGATATGTAATTACAATTTTACTAGATATAGCTTGAGTTTACCATTAATAGGGTAGCAATTATTTACACACATGCAAACATATACATAGTAGAAAATAAAATTGTAAACTATCAGATATTTTCATATATTAGCTTTGATACGTAGAGGCAGTTTGTAATAACGTTCCAAATATGGAACAGTAGGTATATTTAGTAATATTTTAACAATTACATGACATTGTCCAATACCAATAGAAAAATGTTTGCATCCTCATAAGCATTGATATTGTGTACTTACCTACTTATGATTTATTTAGTGGTTTGATTTTATGTATGCTGCACGCTGTGATTGTCTTGTAACTGATATTATATAAGCTCATTGATATGGTTTTTGTCCGAACTTTGTTATACGAAAGTTGTGCATCTAATTAAGAATTTATATCACTGAAACCTAGAGGCAATAAATTAGCGAGCTTTTATGACAATTGGATATCATGGAAAATATCTATTCTACCTCAATTTATGCTGCTTCAGTTTTTATTTTACGACATCTACATACTCCATTGATTATTGTCAAATATAATTTTTAATATATGATTGCTAAAGATACCAGAAAATCATTCATTGGCATAGAAATGTCGCAAAGTGACCTGTTCCGACGCTTCCCTCCTATTGGATATGTTTGTCAGCATCATCGTAAACCTGCTACCCAATCTCTGGATGAAATGGAGTTTGAAAAAGGGATATGGGGTCATTCGCTATATGGAGATCTGGATGAACTGAAAGCATGCATTGATAATGGCAAATATACTGTTGACCAACGGGACTGCGCCGGTAGATACGATTAATTTACCTCACAATAGTGAGTGAATTCTATTTAAATGTTCCAGGCTACACAGCTTTACACTATGCTGCCAGAAACAATCATCTCGATATATGTGAGTATTTGGTGAAAAAAGGTGCTGATGTTAATGCGGTAACCAGAGCAGGAAAAGCTTCAGCTTTACATCGAGCAGCTTCTACAGGTATGGAATATTTACGACTTACAAAGTGAAACTACATTAACTCACCATCTTGACATTTTCATTCAATCGGCAAATGTTAAACAACTAAAAAGGCAATTACTAATCGAATAAAGTCGAAGTCAAAATAAAACATAAATAGGCAAATATTTGTAGCATATTCAAAGAACGTCTCAATCGTTTTCAAATTATGATTTTTAGGGCGAAAAGAAATCGTTCTTTCCCTTCTTCATAAAGGAGCGAATCCCGATCTGGAAGATGCTGATGGAAAAACAGCATTACGCAGAGCGTTGGATAATAATCATATGGACATTGCTGATATACTCGAACTTTTCCAACCTTCTCCACTATAATGTCCCTCCCATATCCATTAATATTGTTTCCTTTAAGCTAGGATTATTATGTGAAGCTCACATCACTTCCAGGAAGAGGCATGGAATAACAAAAATGTACGTGTATGTATAAGTAAAAATTAAATGCTTCAAAATTGCTTATTTATTTTCCTATCGCATAAAGTACAAGGAAAACAAACGAAATTATTTGAAACTTGCTCGTAAACTGAACGGTGGTACATTCACTAATATTAATGCAAATGTGCTTTGTTTCCTAGAATACCTAAGAATACATTTTAAGGGTGCTTCTAAAATCCAACACAATTTCCATTTGCATCTCATTTTTTGTGTGTTTGAAAATCATTTAAAAAATATGCAAGTAGACAGAGTACATACATATTTCCAAATTTTTGCCTGCTTAAAATTTGTACTTTTGGACTAGAGATTGATATAAGTAATACTGAAGTGATACAAAAAAGTGATTAGAGTCGAGTAGCAATTGGAAAAATGGGACACATTTTGTCTAAATAGAGAATGGGCATGGGTGACCTACAAAACTGCATTCTCTAGTAATTTGATCTTGGTCGTATAAAATCATAAATATGGGTTTTATAAGACAGGCCAAAAAAAATCTAAACGCACACATTTTACTTCATACTGGTGCTTTTACTGTTAAATCACTGTAGTGCTCGTTTTTATTTAAAAATATTGAAATCACATGTAGCTATGAACACCAGTATGAAATAAAATATTCTATAACGCTTTAAACCTCCAGACTTTTAGGGCCATAATCATCCAAGTGATGTAAGTGTAAATTACATTTGTAAACATAGAAAAATTCTTCGTTATCCGTCGCTAACAAAACCGTCTGACTAGCATATCCGAGATCTTAAACATTAAACAACCAATTGCAGTTTATTGCCAATAACGATACTAATCTAAAATAGTTTGATTGCAGTGTTTACCCAGGAACTGCCTTGATAGTTGAACTAATTTAATATTCTCGTGTACAAGTAATGGAAATTGAAAGCAGCTTTGGCAATTTACTGCAATTAACGTCTAATCGTTTAGGAACAGAAATTATATCTAAATTATTAGAGATCACAAAACATACTTTTAAAGGCTCGCCTAGTATCTATTCCAAAATTTCCAGTGCTACGTATTTATGTAGAATGGTGGGCAAAGGTAAATTTCGGATTTTTGCTAACAGTTTCTCAGATCCAATTTTATTCCTTATAACTATCCTACATACCTCCCTAAGATGGAGTGGATTTGATTTGACGTGAACAATAAAATCGTAGGTCTCGTCATTGGGGCCCTTTCTTAACTTCTTGGGGTCGTGTGTCATATCCCTGAGCTATAAAGTGAACTTGCTAACGAATTAAGCCGCATAGCGAATCAATTGACTCACATTAAAACCAGCGTAAACAGCGGCTTTGCACAGCTCCAAAGTTCCGTAGCGTTGCGAAACACTCAACACATCCCAGCATACTTTTTCATCTCTTATATTAACATCAGCCCCGTGCCTTATCAGGGCTATTGCAGCGTAGTTGTTGCCTAAAATTAATTCTCACGCAAATTTCCTTACACTTCTATACAAACATCTATACCTAACACAATTGCATGTAGCAATACGGTCCCTTGGTAACTAGAAGCATTCATATTCGCACCACTATTGACCAAAATATCTATCAGCCGATTAACATTGCCCTCTGAACGCACGTCTTGACTGCAAACATGTAAAGCCGTCTTACCATCGATAAGACTCTGAATGTTAACATCTGCGCCTTCAAATAATAAATACCTAAAAGGCCAATGGTCAGATTTATCCAACTGAGAATCATGGCAAACCTACTTTAAAATCAAAACGTTTTTCCTAGAACAAGCGGTCATAATTGGGGTGAATCCATTAGAATCTCTACTATTGATCATGGCACCTCCTTCAATCAAAGCCATTGCCACATCCAGGTTGTTTTGAGTTATCGCTTTGTGCAGTAGATGGTGAGAGGGAATTATTCTGGCTCCATGTCGCAACAGTAGCTTCACCTTTAAGTGGAATGATTTTTCCAACCGCACAAGTTTCAAAGGCAAATTATTTGAAAACACTCACTATACTGGCATTTCCGTTATACACAGCCAAGTCCAACGGCAACACTTCTCCAGGCTCTTCGTTATTCACTAAAGATCCTGCCTCGCATAAAATTCGGACTGCCTCTTCATCACTTTGCCTTACGGCATAATTCAACGCCGTTCGATCCTCAGAATCCAAAGAATTTACGTTGCAACCTGATGAAAATTAATTTTTGATTTAGTGAATTATGTGGTCAAGTGGTCTCCTGAATCAACAAAAATCCCTTTCTACCTGCTTCTATTAGCGTTCTCATCATGCAGTGATGCCCCATCTTGGCTGCAATATGCAGTGGTGATTGCCTATGTCTCCCTAAAAAAATTCGATCAAATCGTCCAAAAGAAAACTGGCCAAACCCACTCTTACCTGCCAATACGTTGATATTAACACCTTTCCTCATCAAAAAGCGCACCATATTACTATCGCCCCTTGCTACAGCTTTATGTAGACAACTAAAGCCATTCTTATCATTCTGGTTCACGCTCAACTCTCTCCCAAAGTTCTCAATTAAATATTCAATCATTTCCACCGATCCTGCAAGTGATGATAAGTGAAACCCACTTCACACACTTTGTGTAGTAGAGTTCGTACCGGAGTTTATCGCATAGTGTAAAACACTTTGCCCATGCTGGTCCAGTCGGCTGAAATCCCGCTCTGGAGACTCCAGAAGCACTGCGGTTCGATTTAAAATGCTCGCATACCATCTGTATAGGTCTACAGTGCTATCCTCCACAGGTTCAGGGTCTAAGCAATCACTTCATTTATCAAGCAAAATAACACTTATTGATAAGATTAATTACCCGCATTGAAATTGGTTCCGTCATTTACTTCCAAGTCCCATTCCAATTCTTCCATTCCTTCAGGGGTTGGTCCATCTCCAAATTCATTCTCTTCCTCTCTAGTAACGACAAAATATCTGTGACAAAGGAAAAATTTATATTGTTTTACTTTCAAAACATTCTTGTATTGTATTGGATTTTTTAGGCACACTTGTCCTAATAAGTACATAACTTGTCAGTACACTTTCGAAAAATTTATATTGTTTTACTTTCAAAACATTCTTGTATTGTATTGGATTTTTTAGGCACAATTGTCCTAATAAGTACATAACTTGTCCCAATAAGTACACTTTCGAAGAGCCAAATTTGCGGTTTTCGTTCGGGGGCGGATCCAGCTTTAAATTCAGTGGGGGGGTTATGTAGAAAAAATACAGTCTTCTGTTGTCTATGAAATTAGAAAAATTATCGTCGTTTTGTGCAAGGGTGGCGTAAGATTATTGCAA